TTCTATTGTTTCATTAAATAGAGGGTACCTTATAATATTTTATATTTTACATTATTATTAATGTGTCATTTTTTTATCATGTTTGTTATTTTTTTATTACTAGCAAATATGCTCATGTAATGCAAGCAATAGGTTTTGTGGTTAACTTAATGGTTTGCGTCTTAGAGATTTATTTAGTAGTAGTTATATGTTTTAATACTGTCTTGAAATCGAACTCGGTACTGCTGCTGATTGATGCGCCTAGACTCTATAATGTTGTTGGATGTGTGTTGTTCTTACTTGTGTGAGCACTGATCATGAGTCTGTGCCATATACGGGAGAACAAGGAGCATAACGATATTGTAGACATATAAAAAAGATTGTAAGAATATTATTTCTCTTTAATATTATATAGGTCATAAATAAATATACATATCGATATAGTACTCCTTATACACATAGCACCTCGTGGATATTATTATTGGTTTTTTTTGTACAAACAATTTACAGAATTTAGGTTCACATGTTCTTTTTTTAAACGGTATTGCTAGCGTCCGGATGTTCGGATGGACGCTCGCGTCCAGACTCCTGTGACTGCTGGCCATGGGCGGATCTATATACATTGTATAGGGTGTGGGCACACCCATAAAAATATCAAAAAACAGTGATTATGATCAAATTTTCACCATATTTGCACCCATACGGTAAAATCCTATGCACCCATAAGGCAAGCGCACCCCGTCGCATTTGCTTGAGCTCCGCCTCTGGCTGGCTGCTGCGCTGCTCGTCTGCCGACTCGCTCGTCTGCCTGCCCACCAGCTCGCCTGTGCCGCTCCGTGGGGATCGCCTTCGCCCGCCTTGCTTCCCACGCGCACGTGGGGACCGCCTCTGCCTACGTCCGCTTCCCGTGTCTGCTCGTAACATGTGCAACGTCTCGATCTACTTTTGCAACATCCAGATGAAACACATACAACATACGTCGGAAACAGCTGAAACACTTGCAACATACGTCTGAAACACTTAAAAACACCTGAAAACACTTGAAAACATTGCAAACATATGTAACATCTAGATAAAACACTTGCAACATATTTGTGTAACATATGCAACATCCAGATAAACATACTTGCAACATGCATCTGAAAAACATATGAAACATTGAGAACAGACGCTTACAACATACGCGTGCCACCACTGCAACATATGCAGCATCCCGATCTACTTTTGCAACATCCATATGAAACATTTGCCTATATCTGAAACAACTGAAACACTTAAAACATAGGCTTGCAACATGTCTAAAAACGCTTGAAACACTTAAATACAGAGTCGCCGCAGCCATGTCCTACCTACTGGGGAACTGCAGTAGCCAGCAAGCTCGGATCAGGACATCGAGAACAACAGCCCAGCGTACACCTCGGCTACCAGACTTCCCTTCCTACCGTGGTGTCTTCGGCTGGCTGCAGGAGACGATGTCCATACCGACGACGACCTGGTGTCGGGTTAGTGGTGGCCCGGTGACGCCGCGTCCGTGATCGGGGAGGTGGAGCAGGGCGCAACAGGGGTTGGGGCGCAGCGTGGTGGGGGAAGCGCATGTCGCGGCGAGGGACGTGGTGTGGTAGGGGAAGGGGCACGACGACATGCAGCCTGTTCGCTTGCTCGTAAACGATCGTAAATTTCCAGCCGGGAACAGTGTTTTTCTCTCACACCAAACCAGCCAGCAGTAAATAATCCACGATACGATACGGCATCCCGAACAGGCTGATGGAGTTGGGCGTGCGGATGCGAGTACGAAGAAGAGGCAGAGCAGGAGACGGTGTCAGTAAAGGCTAGAAAATGAGTGGATAAGAATTAACGTAGAGAATGAGTGATGAGATGAGGCTAGAGGTGGTGTGATATTTTTGGGAGCGCCGGATGCTCGGGTTGCGGCGTTTCCATTTTTTAAAAGAATAGAGGGAGCTACAAGGCTCCACATGAATGATTTTCCATTGATTTCGGGCAAGCCAATACTGGACTATGGTGTTCACCATAGTCAGTTTTCGTTAGAGGCGTGTTCTATTCCATCTGTACCAAATTAGAAGTTATTTTCACTTTCCAAGAAGTCAAACATTTTTAACTTTGACCAAATATATAAAAAATATTAATATTTATAATACATAATTATTATCATTAGAAGACCATTGAATATACTTTCATAATAAACTTATTTGAAGATATAAATGTTGTATATATTTTCTATAAACCTAGTTAAAGTTTGACCTGTACACATTCCATAGCGACTTCTATGTTTGGACAGATAGAGTAGGTTGGAAGGCTACAGACAGGAGGAGAATTCGCTATTACATTGAGAAGATTGTACACCATGAGTTCGAGACATGCCGCATTCCACGAGGGAGGCGGTGCCCCTAGAGGCTCGCATTTTCCTTGCAAGCTTAGTAGAAGTTGAGGTAGGCAGCGTTGTTGCGGTAATTCCACAGCTACCAGCAGCGCAGCATGATAAAGGTGGACGAGGAGCACCGAGGCACGTGAGGCGGGATGGTAACGATATCCACAGCAGAGGTACATCGGGGATGCACTCTGTATTCCAGCCAATGTGGAGCCAAAAGGTGTGTGCAAACGGACCCTACTAAGTGGTCACTTGTCTCTAGAGCATCATGAGAGGCCTTTAGTTGGGTTCAGCTATGAGCTGTGAGACTTTAAGCTAGGTTTAGCTATGAGCTGTTTGATCCACCACAGGTAAAAGGCCTAAGTTTGTGGAAATGCGCCTTCCTGGCATTGGAGAATCTAAAGCATTTGGGGGATAAGGTCTCTTGACACATGCATAGGGACAACTGTCCTTCTGTTGAAGTTGATACGCAATCCAGTGGCTCCGGCAAAGTCATCAAGTATCCTCTTCAGTTCCTTAATATCCTTCAGCTCGGCACGGACAAGTAGGAGCGTGTCATCGGCATACTAGATCACTGGGCAGACACTGTCAACAAGCGGGTGGCGTACAGAACCATCTGTTTGTAGCATCTCTGCAGAATGTCAGCCCCACTAGCAGGAGAAAGTATGGCAAAAGGGAGTTCTCTCTGGCGGAGACCTTTCTTGCATTTGATCAAGGGGTCAGGGCAGCCATTCACCATGATTGCCGAGCGCGATGTTTCTATATGAACAGCTTCATCCAACGAGACCACTGGTTCTGTTGCATATATGAAGTTTCAAAAAATCGACCTCCCTTGCAAGAATCTCATCTGGTCGATATCAATTAGTGGCTGGATTTTTGTTCCAAAAAAAAAATCAGTGGCTGGATTTGGCGTTGCAACCTTGTAGTCAGAACTTTGGAGATGATCTTGACCGAGTAGTTTTGTAGGGAGATTGGCCTAAAACTTATTGGGGCGGTGTCACCTCTGACCTTGGGGATCAGGACGTTGTGTGGTCGGTTAATTCTAGTTGGTACGAAAGTGCTTTCTCAAACATGAGGTCTCGTATTTGAGGCCCTACGTAGCACCACTTTTTGAGATTATATATATAAAAAAAAGAACAACGAAGAGAGTGAGGAAACAAAGGAAAGTTTGTTAGCTTGATGTATTGATGTTGTTTTCTTAAAAATTAATAAAACGGTAATGTTGTGCTAAGGACGTCCGTCCGTCCTGACATTTCTATTAGTGGGCCACGACACTAACCCAACAGCCCAATACTCTCTACTTGCGTATGCGCTCGTCCACTCGTCTCGAACCATATCCGCTCGTGAACCCAACACTCTTTACTTGTGCATGCATCGACCCGCCGCCGTCCTCTCTCTCCACAGGGCTCCAACGCTGCCGCCGCCATCCTTCCTCTCCACCGCTCGATCCACCCACCACAGCATTCTCCACCGCGTCGGCCACCCTCTCCAATGGAGCGGCCTTCTCCACCAGAGCTACGCGCCACTCTGAGGCATCGAGCTCCGCGCCGACATCGAGCTCCACGTCGACGAGCCTCCATTCATCCAAGGCAACAAGTAGATGTTGTGCTGAAAGCGCATGTCGTTGCAAGTGTATGTTTTAAGTGTTTTAGATATTTCAGAGGTAAGTTGCAAGTGTTTTTTTATGTATGTGCAAAAGTAGATCGGGATGTTGCATATGTTGCAATGGTTGTACATGTATGTTACAAACGTCTGTTCCCAATGTTTCATCTGTTTTTCAGACGTATACTACAGGCGGATTTATCTGAATGTTGCATATGTTGCACACGCATGTTGCAATTTTTATGGTGATGTTGCATATGTTTGCAATGGTTTTCAAGTGTTTTTCAATTTTTTTCCGAATGTTTCAAACGCATGTTTTATTTGTCTTCAGATGTATGTTAAGTGTTGCATCTGATTTCAAAAGAAAATCGGATGTTACACATATTGTAATGTGATCAACCTGCTGCAGCTGCTGGAGGGAACGCGAGGGGTCATACCGAGCGCAGACGCATGCAACTATCCGGATGTCCGGACGCTAGCACTACCGTTAATATAAACATGAGGTTTTGTGATCGAGTGCCTCATGTGGCGCTATTTTTTGAGATTTTTTTTCGAGAGAGACGGGGACGACATCGGAATCGGGCGGACAGGAATTCTGCGGATTCGAGACAACATATCTTTTATTTTAGGTTTGAGATATTGTTTGTCCAAACCGCATAATCGTTTTTGCGCTGGCGAAACTTTGGCCTTCAATCAAGTTGCCACCAAAAATAAGTTCAAAAAAAAAATAGCAAACCAAAAATTCCTCGGCACGGCCAACTTTTGGCTTGGTCACTGGCGTCATAAACCAAATTGCGCCGTCCTCATCTATTCCACCGATCGGTCGGTCTATCGTCTCCACCGTCCAGCCCGACGGGCGCATTCCTCTCCCCCTGCCGCCGCACCTAGGGTTTGGGCGAGCGGCCGGACGCTCGAAGCGCCGCCGCCGCCTAACCCGCCGGAGCATACGGGCTGAGAAGAGATTTTGCCACAGATGAGTGACTCCGCGGCTCCTCCTCTTCATCTACGGCCCAGTGAGAGCGAGGTTAAACCAATGGCAACTGAGGGAGGCGGATTGACCGCGACACCTGTTGCTGAACGCGGCAGGAAGCGATCGCCTTCGCCTCTCGCTCTGAGCGACGATGAGGATTTATCCGACGGCGAATGGCTGCTTAGCGACAGCGACGAGGATGAGGATCAGGAGGACAAAGGTAAAACCCAAATCACCCACAACTTACTGCAACCTTTTCCTCTCTTTTTCTCGGGCGGATCTGCTAAATTAGTTTGATAATAATGCCAAACTTAACAGGAAAAAAAAAACTCTTTAGTTTTCCTCTTTTGTGGAATGTCTGTTTTCGTTGTTAACACAATATTCTTAATTTCTAATGGGAATTTCGAAGGGAACCCAAGTTCTAGTGGGAGTGGCTGTTTCCGTCTCCTACCTGTGTTCTGCAGAATCTGCGCATTTCAAATGCGAGGAAGAATCTAATTCCCCATAAAACCAACAGTTAACTGCGATCAGGCTCTACAAGTTCTATGAATAAAAATCTAAATTCTAGACATATTTAAGGATGTATAATAACTTGCAATAAGATTAAAAGCCCATAATCATATTCATAGCCGGTGCTGGAGGTGGCCTCCCCGAGTAGGAGGTGGCTTAGTCACTGGGCACTAGGAAGCAAGTGGTCATGTGAGAGTAGGGTGTGGATTCAGTAAAAGGCACATGGAGAAGGTTATTTACCCTTACTAGGCTGGGCTGTATCCGAATTGTCTAATTTATCCTTAATTATTAATATTTAGTTTAATCTGGATACTCAATGAATACGATACTTATCTGATACGCATATGGGTGTTTTTGCATGTATTTTTATTTCATTCTCTACAATACCCATCATGTCAATGAACGGAGCATATGAAGCTTTCATTAACCTCCGTAGACCATTTTTTTTCTCTATTACTGATTTCAGTTCTTTTTCAATGCAGGGATATACTGACCTTTTACGGTTGATGATATCCCACGGCCCAGTTGTGACCATAAGCAGCAGACTGATGTTTTGCATAAAAATCCAGAAACTAAGGTTTGAGGGCCTTTACCAATAAGGCTCTTTCCTGCATTCAAATCTGGCAAACATATCTTTGGTTCAGAGTATAATCTTGCTGATAAATCTCAAAGTATGTTGTCCTTCTCATGCCCCTCTCCCATTGGGGTACTGTTTATTGTGCATAATGTAGTAATGAACTAATCCTAAATATGCTTCTGTTATTCATTTTGTAGTCAGTCTCGATAGTGTTGGGGATTGTCCAAACGAATGCTATTGTTATCCAATGGATGTGCTTCAATTTGTTGATATCAAGATTGCTGGGTATCGACATACACATCCTGGACGGGTCAAGATGTATGGTTTCATTGCAGCACGGGAACCAGAAAACCCCTTGCGCAACTATGTCTACTGTCGTGAGATAGAAAATTGTGAAAGTGTACCTGTGAAGCAAAAAACGGTAAATATGTTTGTCCACACTCTGTAGGCTTGCAGTTGTCTTTACACCATTTTGTCAATTTTAAAGACTAGCATCATGCGAAAGCTTGATTTTGCCATCTCTAGATTAAGGCTTTATTTTTGTAACTATGTGATGCTGATCTGAATCCCTGATGTAACAACTTTGATTTTCATATTCTAACTAACAATATATGTGAAAGTAAATGTGGTAATTCATATTGCAAACTGCATTTGTCTTGCCTGCTCTCGCTTTGACTGCCATTCATTTGCGACGTCCTGATTTAGGCATAAACTTAGTAAATATATTATTGTCGCTACCAATTTTAAGTTGGTAAAGAAATTAAGAAACCGCATGGTGATTTGTTTTCCAAACTTGCCACATCTACATGTTTATGCTCCTTTAGAAATCAGTGGGCGTATCTATTAGAAACTGGCAGCTGCAAATGTAGGCAACTTCTATACATTTGTGATACTTATCTGTCATCTGAATTCAATGTTGTAGGATTTCAAGTTTTTAGATCAAAGGCTTCGCCCAGCTTTATTAGACAACTTAGTGACATACTGTAAAAGATTTCATGTAATATTTTTCGAGAAAAAAAAAATCATGTAATATTGTCAAAACTAAATTGTCTCCTTTGTTCGCAGTATATGCATGCAATCTATGGACATATGGACAGGAATATTCCTCGGCTATTTACTGATAAAAAGTTCAAATTTGTGACATGATTTGTTTGCAGGGTTTTGCAAGGTTGTCACCAACCGGCCCTGCTCGAGTCATTTCAATGATTAGTCACTCGTTGATCGAGTTTGAGATCCATGCCCGAAATGAAGATGAGACCAATGTTGATGACGACTTGATCATTGAAGGATGCACCGAGATCGATAACTTTTTCGAGTCAAAATCGTTCATTGATCACCGGCGCTTTTATGGTGAAAGGTGTGCTCTGGACATCAAGTATATAGTGATGATCAACGCGGTGGAGGCCCTGGTTGAAGTCACAGTCCTCCACCTCGACACCATTATTCCTGGTGGTGTCAACATGAAACTATTTGCCAAGACTAGTGGCTTCAATGACATAATTCCTCTATTCCAAGGCGTCGCTCCTGAGCCAGGTGGCATGATGAGATTCGCTGTGGGGGTGGAGAGGCACAACCGCCTTGATCTGTACATCGAGGGGTCTCGGAGCGATGATGCTACCCTGTGCTGGCACTGCGGTTTCTACTCTGGCTACCATGGGACAAATGAAGAAGTTGCTGACCTGGGGGTGTTTGCAGCATTTTCAGTCAAGGTCACTTGGAGATCGTACAGCAAAAAAACCTGGTTGATGAAAAAAAATTAATTTAGTAATGTCAGCTATGTCGTGTGTTAACTAAGTAAACGAGGTCTTTGGTTGTGTAACGGTATAACCTAATTACTTGCCGTTCATTCATACCGTGGAGCATATATTGTTGGCATAGTCTCTCTGATGTTCTTCCCTTCGCATGCGTATATTATCTTAAGTTTTTTGTTCTTTCCTTGTGTGTTCAGTTTTAAGGTCTATCTGGTTTTGCTTTCCTGTGTAGGGTCTGCTAAAAAGAAATCAACTTCCCATGTAATCTCAGTTTTGCTCCGTGACTTTTTTTTTTCTGGTTCATAATATGTGAAGATAATTTGGGGCACCTGGTGAGAAGAGTAGACAATCTTGATCTGGGGTCATGGTAACTAGCCTTGGTTAAGACCTGGTGGTCGGAATCATCTTGGTGCTACTCACCCCGGTACTAGCAGAGTGATCGGCTGTCCCCTAAATTAAACAATTTAATAGCAAAATCACGAGCGGAGAAGAGAGATCCCCCAACACGTCGTGGGGACTGGGGAGAGGGAGAGGCGAATTGCAGGAGACCCCAGTACCAACGGTGTTTAGTGGCACAGGAAAAGACAGTTTTGCTCCTTAACGTGACCAAAGTTACTTTGTACAGCCGATTATTTAAAAAGAAAGGTCACTTTGTACCAGACAAAAATATAGCCACCAGATGATTGAATTTTCATAGCCCTGTTCGCTTCGTTGAAATTTAGCTTATGCTGATTTGTTGTGAGAGGTAAACATTAATCGTTTGCTGAAAAGTACTGCTGAAGTAGTTCAAGCCAGCTATGGTTATAATATCAATATAAATGTGTCAAATATTAAGTTAAAATATATAAATATATTTAAAGCAACAACCTATATAAATACTAATATGATTTTAAACAATTTGCATTGTTAGTATAATTAGTATATAAGTTGTTAATATTTTTTTTGAATCAAAACATATATATTTATCACTCTTGCATGCTGACACAACGTGTTTGCTTACTTTAATAATCAAATCTTAATATATTAATATTGATAGAAGTGGGTAATGTAGAAACATACATGCTATATGGTTATTTAAACAATTTTTTGTAGAATATGTTGATAACTCTTATATGTAGATTTGAGAGGACATTTATTTTTTCAAATGATAAGATAAAAGTTTGGCTATGTAAATTATCTATTGTAATAAGAGTACGTGGGTAATTAGATGCAAATTTAGGTATACCTTAGATCATGTTTTCTTATTGGCATATGTGGGTAGTTTAAATGCAGAGTCATGTGTTACTTTATGTTGTTTTACGCAATAGCAATTAGAAAATAGAGTAGATCCAATAGCTATTATTATTCATGGTGATTAGGTTATACCGAATTGATGGTCAAGTGTTTTGAATTTTTGTGAGAATTTCTAGGATCTATTTTTTGTTTTCCTAGCGTGTCTCGTGAGGATTAACGTGGAGGCTCCATTATGAAACTCTAGTTAGAATTTCTAGTATTTATTTTTTTCTAGTGTGATATGTATTTAGTTGAAACCTATATTAAGATATATAAACATTTGTATAAAAGTGTACCAACATAGAAAATATTATTAATATTTGTATCTCCAAATAAATTTAGTATAAAAGTGTGTATTCCATGCTCAATCTAATACTCAATTCATTCTAAATCCTAAGACATTTTGGCATTTTCATACATTGCTTTTATTATGTATCTAGACATAATATATATCTAGATACGTGCAAAATTTATGTATCTAGAAAAGTCAAAATGTCTTATAATATGAAACAAAGAGGGTAATATTTATTATATATCATAAATATTAGTATATTTTTATACATATTTTGTTAAAATTTAAAAGATTTAACTCCTTAGGAAGTGAGATGTGCATTTATTTTGGGATAGATATTTAGAAAAGCAAAAATAACTTAAAATTTGGAATGTAATTAAAAACAAAGGATGTCACTGACCAGACGCACGTCAATTAAAAAGCAAAAGACGTATGCATGGTGTAACATGGCAAAGGCGAGCACACTGCACACGAACTCGAACCAAATCCAAGCGCAGGGGCAGGGTGCGTGCAGCGTGCTGTTCCGGCGCAGGGGCATGGATGAGAGAAAAAAAAGGTCCAGAGAGGGAGACCAGTGCACCAAAGAGACGTCTATACTGCCGTTGTCTTTAAATAAATGTACCTCTCGCTTTTCGAGGAGTAAAATTTTTTAGACTTTTGCTATTTATTTGTTAGACAATTTTTTTATACTAAATTTGTCAAATTTCTAGTTAAAATTAAGAAAGTTTAACTCCTCGACAAGAGAGATGTGCATTTATTTCAGGACGGAGTGAGTATCTGGTCATGCCTGCTTTTCGGTCTCCAGTCTCGATCTATAGTCTCCGGATGATCAGTGCGGCAGCATCCCACTTTAAAGTACTCTCTCAGTTCCAAAATAAACGCATTACATCGTTTCTCGAACAATCAAAATTCTTTAAAATTTAACTAGGAGTATAGAAAATAGTTTCAACATTTTTATCTCCAAATAAGTTTATAATAAAAATATACTACATGCTTAATCCAATTACACTTATATATATCATAGAAATAGATATTAGTATATTTTTATATAATTCTAATCAATTTTAAAAGTTTGACTCATCAGAATGTGAGAAGTGCGTTTATTATGGGATAGAGGGGAGTACGCGTTGTTCTCTGGTCTAAAAAAAAGAAAGATTATGGGTAGTGCTAAGGTGCTAAAAGCAACTTCTCCAGATCCCCATTGCCTTAAAATTCGGAGTGTTGCTACATCCGAACGAAAAAAAACCCATCCCCTTTTTCTCTCCATTACCACTCTCTCTCTCTCTCTCTCGCTCTTGGCGCCCTCCCATGGGCGTGCCCGTCCTCTAGTTTGACTTCTGACGCGGCAAAGCCCAGTCGGGCCTGACAGCTCGTTCGTGGGCGGCACGGCGGCTAGTGCATGCATTCTTGGGCCCCGGCACACCGCTTACCTCGATGGTGTGGGCCTAAGACGTTAGTGAGAGATGAAGAAAGAAAAGGGATGAGAAAAACTGATGCTCGTTCCCCTTTGTTTGAGGGATTGAGGAGGATTTCGAATGATTGAGAATTTTTTTAAGAAAAGGAGATTGGGAAGGGTATTTGCTGGAGCATGTTTTTAGCCTCATAGCAGTTTTTTAGTATTGAAAATGAGATAAGTAATCTGGTGGAGATGCTCTTAGTCAGACAATAAAGTAAGTTGTCAACATAGGTGATGATAGAACAACACGAGATAATGTCGATGAAGAAGCCATGTACTACTTTTTTTTGAAACCAAGCCATCTACTACTGGACATGACATATTGTTGAGTGGCATGAGAGGATCCAGGCTACCTGCTGCACTAGACACTTCATAGGCATTGGGTGCCCACCATATCCGGCGGAGTAACTGCCCCAGCAGCCGCGGAATACTTGCAGGTCTGGCACGCGATTGAGGACATCGTCCTCACGGACGCACCGGACCGCCTCGTCTGGCGATGGGAGTCTGACGGAAGCTTCTCCGTCCGATCGGCTTATCAGGCATTACATCTCGGTTCTCACCCCATTCCGGGCTGCGTCAGGATTTGGGAGGTGTGGGCGCCGCTCAAGGTCAAGCTGTTTCTCTGGCTGGCGGTTCGCCGCCGACAATGGACAGCGGACAGACGACGGAAGCATGGGCTCGATGCACACGACACCTGCTTCCTGTGCGATCAGGAACCGGAAACCATTGATCACATCATCGTCGAATGTTCCTTCGCCAGGCAGTTGTGGTTCGAGGCAGCCACGGCGCTTGGGGCAACTCTGACCGAGCAACCAGCCGACGCCATTGTCGACTGGTGGCAGACCTGGAGAGCTCTTTGGCCAGCGTCATTTGCAAGAGGCGCATACTCCATGTTCGCGCTAATCGCTTGGGAAATCTGGAAAGAACGTAATGCGCGTTGTTTCCGCGGAGCAGCCACATAGATTCTGGCGATCAAGGCAACCATCAAACTTCAGGCAGAGCTATGGGTCCAGGCCGGTGCGAAGCACCTAGGTTGTTTAATTCAGCGAGTAATAGGCTAGAGAAGAAGCTGAGCAGGGTGGGCGCGCTCAGTGTTAATCTTGTAAACCACCCGAGATGTAACAAACTATTCTTCTACTTAATACAAAAACGCGCAAATCTTTTGCGTGATTGAGAAAAAAAATATATTGACATCGTGGTGTTAGCCAAATATAAGAGCAATATGCAAATCACAGATACTTTGATAAAAACGTTAATGATGAAATATACTAAGGTTGAACTACACGCTAACTGCACAATTCGCATGGACCACTTCGCTAGCTAGTTTAGATGATCACAGCATATATACGTAAACAAAGTTCATAACGTGGCCTCATTACAAAGGAACCAGTTCGAGATGTATAATAAATATAAATATTAACATGAGAAGCAATAACTCAGCACTCATTGCACCATCATTATCTAATATTAACATTAGAAGCGACTCAGCCCTCGTTGCACCATCATCTATCGCCACTGTTTTTCACTTGCTATGGCTGCTGCCGCTCGCGCCGACAGTCTTCTTAGGTTTGGATCCGCCTCCGCCTCTTGTGTCCTCCTCCTTGTCAAGCCACCTATCCCATGCTGACCTACAGAGGATGCTAAACTCTTGTGCTATTTCCTTGATCACTGTACAGCTTTCCTCAGTCAAAACAACAGTCTCTTGTTCTCGGTTCTCTTTGTAGAAATTAAGGCACTTTCTGCACCAGCTGTTGATCAGTTGCTGGAGATTCTCGCCTACAAAGTCATTCTTCATCTCCCTGATGAATTGCAGACACTTTTGGTACACAGCTGGGAATCGTGGTGCCTCATACAACTCACCAGTATGATGGCTATTGCACCGTCAGAATCTCCCGTGCTGTTGGGATGGGCCACCAGGGTATGGAAAGCATCGGTTATCAGGTGATAACCAACCCTGCACTGGTCAGCGGTAGTGCCAAGCATAGCATAGTACCTTGAGAATGTGTGGAGGGATCTGGAACCCACCATCATTTTTGGGCTCATCCTGTCAATTTCATATCTGTCACCTGAGTCCGTCACAAATCCTCTGAACCATGTCTGGTACTTTTGTGGGACTAGGCGAAGGGTCCTTGTGCCATCTGTGATGGCGATAGTATAGGCACCAGTGGGGGATTCATCCACGC